TGCGTGCTACTGGGCGCGGGCGCGCTACTGCCATGGACCATTGACTGTGTGCTTTTCAGGATGACAAGATTTAAGCTCTGAAGAAAAAAGTTTGACTTTATTTGACATGTGTGGTGTTTTTTCGTGAGAGTTTTTAGAAGAGCAGGCTAATTAGAATTCAGAAATGGTGTCTTGTGTGTGCTCGTGAATTGTGGTCGGGAGAAAGAGAAGCACTTGGTTAATTTAAAACTTTGTATTTTGTTTTCTTAATAGACCTTTTTTGGGTATTTTTTCCTTCACGCCCTGCTCCTGCCCCGTTTCTCGTACTGGTCGCCTTTCTTTAACTGAACAAGACACACTCAGAAACCAAGATCTAATCTGTGAGAGACCAACAAGTTGCAAAAGCATACATGTACTGTATTTTCTGTAATTACAGACACTTCATATATAACTGAGAACTGTTCAGCACCTCTGTTCCCTGTCCTCTCGTTCACTTATGTGTGATGCGTGTTAGGAAAGGCTCCCGCTTTTTTAATTCTTCACATGTTTTTGATGAAGAGTGTGGTCCTGTGAAGTTGCTAAAGCGTCTGTTAAGGCAACATCAAAACAAGCGTTCCCTCAGAAAACAATATGTTTAAACCATGACTCTCTCAGAATTGTTGTGCCAAATTAAACTGTTAACTGTTGCAAAAAAAGCCTCAACTTTTCCGCAAAACAAAACGCCCACTTTAACTGTATGACAAAGCGGGTGTACAGTCTTCCAGCAGTAAGCTGTCTGAAAAAGGTGGCACCTATAATCCCGCATATTGAAAGTGATTTTTGCAGTAGCTTCAGCAAAGTACCCCATCCTCCGCTTCTATGACGGTCCAGCTCTTCCGCCCATTTTAAATGGACGACCGTTTGAAACCGCTATTAACACTTTTGCGCGTTGACATGGTCGGATGGACGCATCGTACAGATTACCGGTTCTTTTCAGTACCCGGCTCTTTAGACTAAAGCAGGTTTTGTTGATGTGTGTGATACCTAGCAAAACAAGTGATATGTAAGTATGCTCAAGAGTACAGGTCTGAAAACCCTCATTTGGGGGGGTCTTTGAGGTTTTACTGCTGTTGGGCTGATTGCGCTTTGTCCCACAAACTGCACATGCAGGCAAGGAATTGACGAAAGTGCTGGTTGATTTCTTTTCTATACTACTGCAACAAGAGATTACTGATACTGGTGTTGGTGTTACGTTCATAGATTTGTAAGTGGTTATAATGGAATTGGGACAGCCAGGCTGAGCGTGCTGGTGGTGAGAAAAGGAACGTTCATATTTGAGACGCAGCAAGGCAGCACGTGCGTCACTCGGTCCAGGTCAGTGGTGCTGTTGGTCAGACCTGAATTGGGACCACCGATTCTTACCATTCTCTTCTCGCTTCATTTCCCGACTGCGGGCCGAGCATCTGCACCCGCTAGTGTTCACAGTAATTCCCGCTGCAATGTGAGTGCTTCCCCAGAGCTTTGACAACCCCCTTAAACGTCTTGAGCATGTTCGAGATCGGAGCTTAAACCTTTTTTCCTCTTGTATTTTACATTTGAAACAGCATTAAGTTGCGGTCAGTGCTTTTTTCTTTCTATTTTTTCTTTTCTTTCTTCTTTCTTCTTCTTGTCTGTGTTAGCTGTTTGGGGAGACTGAAGTTTCCCTCCCTGGAGATTTGACCCTTAATATATCGGAGTGTTTTGGCACTCTTTATGCGAGTCAGTCCTCGTAGTAAACCTCCTTTGGCAAACTCAGACATATGAATTGGTATGTGTGTTTGTTTTTGCTGTGAAGGGCAAATTTGTATACATATGAATTATCAAATATACATAATTTTTTAAACAATTTTTTGTATGTTTCAAAGCTGCTTTTCTAACGTGTGTTGTATCATGGAGATTTGGTGTTGTATGTGTGCATTACAAAGCCTACAGTTAAGAGAGGCGCAATGTTGTATACCATGTTGTTTTTCTGTTTATTCTCCATTTCTCAGTTAGCAGTAAACTTAACAATTGTTTTTAGGTTTGGTACAATGTTCTTGATTTTTTTTTTTTTTTTTTGTGGCAAACCAAAAACAGTTTTAATGTGATTTATAAACACAGTCTCATTTAACGGATACCTGGGGCAAAAAAACCAACCAAAAAACAAAGATGTAACCAAGAACTGTGTACTCTAATGAGAATGAATCAAGCCTTGTTAGCAGTTAAGGAAGCTTCTCCTGGTGCCTTAAAATAAAAATGTGATTGAGGAATGGTCAATTTGTGTTTGTTGGTAACTGTCTGGGGGGTGGGGGGGGGCAATCTGAAGGACAATAATGCAACAATAAAGGGCATCAAAATCATTCGCACATTGAGGCTGAAATGTAGCTTTTGTGAGCCTGATAAAAGAAAAAGTTTGTTAGTCAACTCCTCTGCAGCTCGAGGAATCATGTAATTTGCAGTATGAGGTTTAGTAATCCTAGCTGACTCAGCTACAAGTTGCGTTTTTGAAGGATGAATCTGATTAGTGACATGCATGAGTCTGTAATTAAAAAAACAAGTGTTTAATTAAGTGTTACATAATTCCCTTTGGATCAGTGAGCAGGAATCTATCTGTGATTTAAGGAAGACATTAAAAGTTTGGCTTTTGCTCTCATCAGGTGTTTTATATTTATGATGCATCAGACGGACTGTGCGTCATGTGAAAGGTTTTGCTCATAGTGAGAATTATCACCTGCTGCTTTTCCCCTCAGTTCTGCACTGTCATTGTTTTGGTTCACTCTCGCAGGTCTCATCCACCTTGCCTCCAGGTAAAAACAGACTGTACGCTAGAGCCCTGCACAGGACTGTTGTATCAATCCTGTTCCCGGTGGATACTGTTCCTTCTAGGGGTTGCAACTAAATCTCAGGACCCGCAGTCTAAAGTCACAGCAAAGTCAAAAAGCACCCTCAAACTGATCTCAATTCAGTCCTCTACGATGAACTACTGCTAGGCACCGAACAGCAGACGAAGTTAGCGACTAGCTGGTGAACACAGTGGAACATTTAGCAGATAAAAAGCCATATATGCCCCTCAGGAGTTGGTTAAAACCCAAAACAGACCTAAAAGAAAGTAATGGATGTGTACACAAACAACTGTTGGCTAACAAGTTTGCAGTATCTGTTTTATAAGGGGATTATGTCTGTTGTGTTACAGCTTGTTGAAAGAACAGAAAAAAAACACAATACAACAGGTTTAAAGATAAAATACTATTTTACCATGCCAGAACAGTGGAGGTGAGTAGAGTTTTGTGTGTGGTGCTTTAAATAAACAAAACTAACTATACTATTTCTTAACAAAAACATAATTTGCATTTCTTTACAGAAATGTCTTGTTCCCCATTGGCTGATGCACTGTCAACGCCGAGAGTGATGTAATATCGTTCTAGTTGAGTTGATTATTTTTGCGTGACCGGGCATTTTCTTTGGAAAAGGGTTTAGAAAGATAATTTACCTCCACTGTAGGATTTCTTAAAACCTTGGCAAATCACACCAAAACTATTTGCATGACAACAGACTAGTAGACGTACATGTCAATGTTTTGTAATATGGGTGAACTGACCCTTTTAAAAGCAGATTTTGATCATACCTGTGTTGACAAAAATAAATATCACTGATCCAGACGAGGAGATAACTCTGATAATATACCACCTCGTATGTGGCCTGACTGCCCCATTCCTTTGGTACAGAGGAATCCCATAATCGTTAGCATCAGGTTCAGACATGAACCCTGCGTCAGTGCGTTATGCACAGTTTACAAAAAGAACACAGCATGAAATGAAATGGCTCAATGAAGACAAAAAAACCCAAAATATTATGTTGCTTCATCACAAAATCCCCTCTTGCATTTCTTTTTTCCCTCCCTTGCTGTCGAAGTAAGCTCTTATAGACGACATACTGGCTAATATTTATAGAGAAAACTACACAGAACAACCAGCAGGTTGAAAGAAATGATTACATTTTCTGCAGCTTCACAACAGGTTACACACAGTTATAAAGAGGGAAGAAAGGACGTCCATGAAAGTGTATTTAGTTAGTATCAGGCTTAAAGTGAAATTGTGGTTCCACCAGTGCTTGAGGTACAAGGAACTGGAAAAAATGGCTCCATTTGTCTTTGGCCATCCGTTTAGGTGAAGTTTGTCTAAGAAGAAAAAAAACCCAGAACAATGTTGCCAGCTGAAAAAGTCCCACTGTAACGTCACAGCCAAGTAGTGGTGATACATTCTTTAAAAGCTACACAGTTTATTAGATACAGTAGTTATAAAAACAATAAAAATGTTAGCACTATACATAATCATGTATATAGTTAAAGCAGTCCATCATTACACATGCATATCTTGTAAAGACAGTAAAATATAGGGACATCTGCAGAGAAAGATGACGGGCAGATATAATCTAACTCCAGTGTAGGTAAAACAAAACTTCTTATCCGACTGCAATAATCAACACAGTGGAAAACTTTCAGCCTCCAAGGTTTTGTTATTCAATCCAAGGACAGAAAAGAAATCTTTGGGTGGTGTTTTTGAAATTTACAGATCTCTTTAGCAGCCTTTAGCTCACTTTTTGGTTAACTCACAGCATAAAAATAATCAACCACAAATCTGAACGTTTTTTTCTCATAAATGCAGCACAAAATTGAGATACATAAAATATATATATATATATATTATTATAATATAATTTTGTTTTTATAGTATATATTATATATATGTATGTAGTTTATATATTGGTATATAGTATAAATTGCATTAACTTCTAACAGGAACAGACACTACAAATCAATCAACGCATTAATTAGATCAGTATAGGGCACAGGGCAGGGACAGCACCAACACAAACAGCACACACACACACACACACAGACACGGCAGACCTTCTGTTCCAACAGGTTTTGGGAATCTCTTGAGTTTTCATAGCTGTAAAAATTGTTGGGAAGTCTCCGAGTGGAGCATGTCTAGTCTGGATCTCCAGGTAGTGGTTACTGCATTGTGTTATATAATTCACAGGTCCTTTGGTAACGGAGCTGCTGATAGAGTGTAGGCCCAGGTTAGTAAGAGTAAACTGCTGCTTGCTGTAAAGAACTCATACATTTCCAGAGTAGTTGTAGTGGTTTCCGTGCTGCGAGTCGGGGGGCTGTGGGCTCGGTTTGCGTTCGAGGTGCTCGACCTCTGTTGTGTCTGGCCGTGTGCAGCGAGGGGGGCGCTGCTTGAAGAAGTCGGACACGTATCGGACCTTAAAGAACAGAAAAAGGGAAAGTATTTAAAGTAAAATTAAGTGATCAAACAAAAATAAATCTGCCTTTGTGAGACCAGATCAGATTTTTTTTTTATGACAGTGTAAATGGTGCAAATTACATTGAAACTGATCTTTTCAGTTCAAATCAGATTTATTTTTTTGCAGTGTAAACTCAGTGTGAGGTTTCATGTGACTTTTATGTAACTCTAGATTTACATTTGTCATGTGGTTCACTTCAGGGCTATGACCTGTTCACATTGGGATCTGATATGGGCCACAAAAAATGCCAAAGAAAATCAGATCTGAGCAATAAGACTTGAACATTGATTGTCAGAGAGATTGTGAACATTGCCTATGTCAGAGAGATGTTCACTATGTTAACTATGGTCATTTTAAGACATTTTAATATAATCCAGCCCAATATAAAAACCCTACTGAGCACAAAGCCTCTAAATGTACCATCAGATCAACAAACTAACAAGTAAAGTATTGATTGACAGGCTATTTTTCTGGTCACTTTGTACATGTTTCTAGTTTCTTTTGAATACATTAAAGACAATTTTAGGTTGTGCAACAGCTGCAAAGTCTGTATTTTATAACTAAATATCTAAAATAAAGTTGACAAGAGGACATAGGTAGTGTGTGCAGCCCTCGGTATCCCATAATCAGCTGGTCATTGGTCAATAATAAATACATCGCATGCATTAGACCTTCAGAATGTGAATAATAAAAATGTTCTTCTTAGTAGCCTTGTTATTTATGCGTCATGAAACTCACAAATACCAGTTTCCCCACTGGTATGTCTCAATTTGTCAACTGTTTGGGGCAACTTCCTATAGGTGAACTTAAACATTTCGGACTTTTCAAAGTTGGAATCAGTTTCTTTGCGTTCAGAAGACACAGAAACAAGCTGTCGTACTCACAGTGAGCACAGCGATGAGAGCTCCCTGCAGCAGCCCCACCAGAACGTCACTCCAGTGGTGTTTGTAGTCAGACACACGAGTGTATCCTACATACAGAGAAAAGGCCACCAGGAAGAACTGGATTGTTGGTCGAACCAGTCGCGTCCACTTCCCCTGCATCCGGGCCTGAATGTAGAGCTACACACACACACACACACACACACACACAAACACACAGGAAATCATATTTAATTGCACAAAAATAATATGGAATTTTAGTATGTATTTGTAGCCTACTGTTTGTTTTTACATTTAATAAACGGAAACCACAACCTCCCCTGAAACTAGCCAAAAGAATTACTCTAAAATAAACCAGAATAACCTTTTACTGAGGATTAGAATCTCCATGGCCAAAAAATATAAAATCAGATTAATCACAAAATAATGAAGTAAAACTAATTCTAAATGCTGGGATTGTTTACTTTCATTTTGTCTTTCTTAGGATTTTGATTAATTAATTAATGAACACATTTTTTACCTTCAACAAAAACAAATACTGTATGTATGAAAGGTGCTTAACAAATATCTCGTTTTTTTAACAGAAAATAACACCATCTGTTATTTTCCATCCACAGTGAGTGTTTTTTGTGGGAATTCATACAAATGATGAGTTATGAGAATATACAGTCTTGTCTTAATGGAAAATATTTGACTGTTTCCTGAAGGACAAATGTTCTTTTGGCCCACCTGCCTCCACAGAAAGGTCAGGCTCAGCTACAGAACAGTGCTGTATATACAACTGACTCTCAGTATCTCACTTCTGAACACTAACAGGGATTAAACCATCGAATCCATCATCTTCCGACCATTGTACAGTGTGTAGTATTACAACAATGATGTTTTCAAACATCAGCTCTGCGTCCGTGTTGACCACCCCCTCCTGTTTTGAGTCACTTGTTGAGTGTCTTTACTAAACAGACGCGGAAAGTCTCACGCAATAAAGACAGCGACACACTCACCGACAGAAAGAGCATGCAGTACATCCCGAAGGACGAGTGGCCGGAGTAGAACGACAACCTGAGGAGCAAAAACAGCAACAGAACACAGACCGTTTAAAAAAAGTCACTGATTTTCATTCATTGGTTTTCAATAAATATGATAATGATGTGACGAAGAGTAAAGGTTACAATGAGACCCACTTATCAGTTTATTGTCCACCTGCAATTTGATCCAAATCATTTTTAACTAATTATATATTTATGATAGAACCAATTGATCCCAACAGGGCTTTTTTTTATGTGATCCTCTATGACCTACATAAACAAACACGACTATCAGCATGAAGATTGGCTGTTTCTATATAGTTATTCTTAATGGCTGCCAGACAAAATGAGATGGTGGAATCATTACCAGAATCAGTGAAAATAGAAATAAAAATTCTTTATAGCTATTTTAATTGATTTATCAAGCAAAAATGCAGAATGTTTCCTGGTTCCAGCTTCTCAAATGTGAGGATTTTACATGGCTTATATAATTGCAAATTTTAATATTTAAATGGTTTTAGACTGTCAAAACAAGCAATTTTAAGACATCAGCTCTTGCTCTCAACATCTTTCTATCTTAACAGTATAAAGATAAAACTGTTATAAGAGTTATGTTTGTATGTATGTAAATATTATAAATGTCTACGTAGTATTTTCAGAGTTGTAACCCCATCGAAAACAACATATTTTGGACAATCTTATTTTTGGGTTAAAAACAACACTTTAGTGATTTAAAGTCACTGAGGGAAACTTGATACTAAAGATGTAATAAGACAGTAATAGAGGCAGAGAGTTGAGTACCTGGATTCTGTCACATTGCGGGGGTTGCCAGTACAGTTGATCTGCAGTATGTATCCGTTACAGCTGACCGGCGCACACACAGCTAAGAAGTTTGGACGGGGACGACCTATAGTGAATTTGGCCAAGTCGGTCAGTGATTGGCTGACGGCTCCTCCGAACAGGAAGGTGCCCACCACCTTATAAAGGGCCGACAGGTACTGGTTGAACTGGGAGTTGGAGTGCAGGCGCTTTGTGTGCACAAGGTAGGCCTCCCCTGTGGTGATCTGCGGAGTGGACAGAAGAGAGAAAAGGGTTTATTTTTACATTGCTGTGTAACAACACTCCTCAGACGAAGAGGATGTTGGGACTCACAATGACGATGGAGCAGATGATAGTGACGGCAGCCATGCCTCCGTGAGAGATGGTGTCTCTCCTGTAGGGGTAGCTGATGCTCTTATCGTCACAGTAGATTCCTCTTTGGTATGGGCTGAACATCAGCGTCAGGATGGCTGATGGCAGAGCCGCTGGAGGGACAAGAGACCACAGTTTGTCCTCTGTATCATGAGCACAAAATCCACTTTACTGCTAAAGATAGTGTGAAAGTAAACTAATACAATGACCTGATCAAACCCTCCTGGTGAATGCATGGAAAAGTAAATTATTATTACTTCCACAAAATACTGGGCTGATACAGATGTTTAAAATAAAAAAAATTGGTTAATAGCTGATGTTTCTTTGGTGTTATTTATTCACCCTTTTTTGCCCAAGAAAAAAAAGAACCCTAGAATTATAAGCGTTTGTGCATTGTTGCAGCTCAGTCTATTTCTCTTCTCGTCCAAGACGTGAACAGCTGCTCTTTGTCTGTGCTGCTGCATGCTCCAATAAAAAGCCAAAAAATAAATAAAACAACCAGCACATTTAGCCAGTGCTTAATTCATGCGACACAAAATATAAACATCGCCCACTGATATTGGCAAATACCATGTTGTTTGCAGATAGGCTGATATCAGTGCAATAAAGCAGGACCACAAATATAATAAATATACTGCAGATAATTCTAGGAAAATTTAACGAGAAAACAGCACAAAAGCACAAGCATAACCAAAAAAAAAGACTTGAGTTACTGAAAATGAGAAGTACAGTGTCTCATTTCCAGTAACTCAAGTCTTTTTTTTTTAAATACTGTAGTCTTTGGGAGCCACACTGTACTAAGAGCTGAAGGTCCATCCTGAGAGCAGCTTCGACCCTTCAGCTGCACGTTGACAACTGAACCGCAACACAATAAGGTGCAGCTCAGGAAACAGCTAAGAACACACTGATGGACTAATGTTTTGGCTTTCGGGCAGAAGGCCCAAGTCTGCCAAGTATATGAATTTGTCATCGGTAGAGCTCAGTGGCAACAACTTCACCTAACGGGTGGCAGTCACTCTCTACGGAGAGACCACATGTCGCCATGGAAACACGCGGGACAGGACGGCCATGACCTTTGACGACGGAGGCTCCGCTCACACAGGGAAGGGCCTGGGAGCCGAGTATTGAACGATGCCACACTCTCATGTGACAGAAAGACGTGCACCACAAACACACCGCTGACAGAAATAACTGGGGTTTAAAAAAAAAAATTCATGTATTTATAATTTCCATGTGTACGCTGACAGAAAGGTTGGTTTAACGGTTTCTCTGCATGAGTAAACAAAGGAGTCAGAGTTCAGGCGGCGGCTGAAGCACATAAACCTGAGCAGGGACAATGGTCCGATCTACAGGGCTGATGTTGTGAACCCTTCTAGACTACAACTAAAACAAATTTCCTGTTTTCAAGAACTCCTCACTGAACTGCTGAAGCTAGTAAAAGCGTGGAATGGATGTATTTATGTGAATGTGTCAGGCAGAACTAACTGAAATCACACAAAGACACACAAACAGAAATGAAAACATGTTCTATAGACATGTAATTTTGGTGTGTACAAATGTAGAGGTCTACTGGTCAAGAGTGTGAATTAAGGCTGAGGTCATACACACTGTGGCAACCTGTCTGCTGTGAACATTCAAGTGTTGTTGTTTCTGCTTTCTACTACACTTTGACTATTAAATACATTTGCTGTGGTGAACGCAGGCAAAAGAAGAAGTTTAAAAATGGAAATGTGGAAAGAAAGAAAGAGCTCAGAACCATAGAACAAAACAGGTGAGGGCTTCCTTGCACATGTACAGCAGCCATAGTTATTATGGCTGTTTAGCTGGTTATGACTGAAGAAAACGTGGCTTTTCCCAAATGGATGGATGTTTTCTTTAACTCCATTTTAAGTATGTAAAAGGATAACAAAAATAATAATTCTTTTGGCCACTTGGGGGCAGGTATGTTGTCACCATTTAAGTTGATATGGCAAACTTATTAGCAAACTGTTGCTCATTTACACATCCAGCAGTTACGGAGCAACATAAGAATGAATGTGGAGCTGTGTTTGTGTCTACCTGGCTCTGATTTTGGTCTCTACCAACTCCTGAGGGAAATGTCCTGGCCATTTAGCTGCTAAATATTCCCCTATGTTCACACTCTCACAGCATCTTGACTAAAAAACAGCACATTTTCGGGCCGGACAGCTAAACAATGAGCTGAAACTCACTGTAAAAGCTACGTAAAGCTGAGGGAAGTTTCAAATTTAGGTTCTATCTAGGTTAATCACCCCGAGCGATTTTTCACATGATCACATTTAATACAATAATACTATAAAAAATATTGATTATAACCACTTTAATCTTCCCAGAATCCAATGTTTGTGTATGTTGCTCTGTATGTGAACAGTGCTCTCTCTCTCCATTATTTTCTATAAGCAACATCTGCACAGTCTGTGTGTGTTGTACTGAAATGTTCTGTTTTACAGTTGTCTGTTAGTGTGCAGACACACATAAAAGGTTGCTTTGTTTTAATTTTGTTTTTTTATCAGAACTAACTATCAGTCTGTCGCCCACTAGTTTATGTCACTACACAATGCATGAGGAACACACACAGGCCGCAATGCCGAAATCTAAAATTTATTCCATTTCCTGAACAAGTGGCACACTAATGATCTTTGATGACAAGCAGCTTCCTCATTAAAGAGAATTTATTTTCATGCAAAGGAAGCTTTCCCTTCGCTCTGCACATCTCAGGGTTCATTATTCCAGCAGGTCAAGCGTACTCTCAGCTTCTCTTTGAAGTAAGGCCCAACCATTGTTTATTCTGCAGGGTGCAAGGATAACATTTAGATAAGAGACTGCTTGTTTGACACAAGTCTCTGGTGGCTACACACTGCTAGGCTTGGAGATGTGAGTGGACGGAGTTGGGCAATGGCCTTTTGACACACACACACACACACACACACACACACACACACAGCTAGGCTTATTTAACAACAGAATCAGTGAGGAAGTCAATTCCCCTTCGTATCAAACATGCTCCAACAGCCTCTGGGAGCCAAGCCCATGGAGAGTTTCTATTATCCGAGTGGGACTGACTGTTTTTATCTGCTTTATTATTTTAGAAGGCCTGGTATGTTTTTATAGGCCTGCGCTGGTGGGGTGGCCTCTAGGTTGGGTTGAGCTGGGGAAGAGAGGTTCATTCCCCAAATTTACCCCCCAAAAGATTCCAGTCCAAAGTCCACGAGAAGAACTTGTTTGTGTCCATGCTTTAGCAACATGTTTTCTGATAGGAGTACACAAAAGAAGGGTTTCCCATCTCGAGATGCATTAGTGGGAAATAACAGAGAAGGTGTTTTCTCTGTGACTCAGTGGTAAATATATGTATTTGCTTTCTTGGCGAGTATTAGATCAATAAGATCGATACCACTTTTATGTTTGTATGTTAAGTACAGAGCTGGACTGTCCAAACTGGAAGACAATACTGAGCTAAGAATGGCAATTTGTTTTATATGGCGTTACATGTTTTAATTATTTCAGCATCAACAGTTTATCCATCTTCCCACAACTTTATTTTCATTCCATTTACTGTATATTATCACTGTATGTGTGTGTGGATGGATATATGGATGGCTGAACCCTGAGACAATTAGCCTAGCTTAGCATCACGACTGCAAACAGCTAGCCTGATCTCTCCAAAGTTATAAAATACTAGCCTACTAGCACATTAAAACTCACCAATTAACACAATGTGTCTTGTTTGTTTAATCTGATCTCGGTGAACAACCAGGCGTAGTGACATTCCAGAGTCATGACGTCACAGTGAAGTTGCCAGGCAACCAGCTAAGACACTGCAGTTGTGCTTTTTTTTTTTATTTTTTTTTTTTACCTTTACTGTTTCTGTTCAGAAGAAAACAAGCTACAACCACTATAATTGAGAGCTTTAGAGAAGTGCTGGTACTTATGCTAAGCTAGGCTAACTGGCTCCCAGCTCTAGCTCTGCAACAAAAAAGCCCCCATAAAAGTCACATTTATCATTAAAAAGTTGAAACTATTCTTCCAAGTTCAGTTTTGAGGTACTTATACCTAACTCGAGTAATTTAGTTTAGGCTAACAGCTGTCACTTTTACTCAAAAGATTTAGGCTGAGGATTTATGTCCTCATAATGTCAACTCAACTCTTCAGCTTAGTAACAAAATGCAGTTTTAGAGAACATGTGCAAGACTTTTAACGTCTTTCCTTTCTTTCCTTTCTCATGACTTGCTTCCTTCCTTCCTCCCTCCTCAAATCCTCTCTCACCATCAGTGCTTTCACTTTTCACATGCAGTACATTTTACTCCAAATGCCTGTTGTACTAAGTAAACTCTGATTGTTACTTTTACTGCAGTAAATCACTACAAGTGAACAGCCTGTATCATCCTACTCTGACATTTCACATGTAGCTGTTGAGTTTCTTTCCTCTTTCCCAGTGCAGAAGCACACACACCACACACACCACACACACCACACACCACACACACACCCACACCCACACACACCACACACACACCCACACCCACACACCCACACACCACACACACACACACACACCCACACACACACCGTTTCTGCTGAGTTTTTGTCCTCAGTAACAAAACGTCCACAGGAGAGATAAAAAAGGAAGAAGGGAAAGTATTGTTTTACGCTTTCACAATCTCCCCTGGCAAGAGTGGACCCCCGATTCCACTTTGAGAAAATAAACATGATGGAATTTGGGATCAGAAACAAGTACAACTTCCCCTCGACCTCTGACCCAGCGGAAAAGTGGGAAGTGTTCCTGTTATTCAGCCCTCAAGACGAGTAGCCGAGGCCCATGCATAACTGAGACATTGATAGGAAACAGAAAAAGGTAACAGTGTTGTATGAACATTTGTTTGAGCTCCGCATGTAAAATCTCAACAGACGACTGGGAGAATTGTGCATCTGCTTGGTGACCTAGCAGTTTGTTAGCAGACAGAGATTCGCACTGAGGTGCCCAGAAAACTAATATTTAACTTCTGAAGATCCCTCTTTGGTTTATTTTGGCTGAATCTTTGGTGTTAGGCGCTCATTGTTATCACTTCTCACCATTTCTGTAGGGATTAATCCAGGAAGACTATTGTATGAAAGAAAGTGCATCATTTCCTGTAAGGCTGGTTTTTTTTTCTTCCTGGGAAAGTCCTTCACGACACCAGGTGATAAAAAGCTTTTTCTTGGTAAATTGCTGCTTTGGAGTAACAAAACCTTTTTTTGTATGAAAAAAGTGTGAGCGTCACTACTTTAAACACTAATGGTACATATTCTTTGTGTTGGATTGTATCCAAGAACGACGGAATTGTCTTACCAAGAAGGAGATGTTTTTGATTTATCTGTCTGGTTTTTTGTTTGTTTGTTTGTCAAATATATTAAGAGCCAGGTTTTAGTGAAATTGTTGGTGTGAATCCAGATCATTTTCAAGGTTTCTCAACATTGTGAGTCATTTTCCAAAATGATCTGTCTCTCATTAAAATACCGCACTTGAATAATAAAGAATCTGGCATCTGTCCCGCCACGATTATCTTTCACTTTGAGTTGAATCAAACACTTTCTATTATTAACGTGCATTTAAAAAGGATTGTGTGATTGTGTTTAGTGGACATATGTTCTCTCTGAAGACTTCCTAGTCTTGCATTATGTTTAAGCAGTCGGTAATTCAAGCAGTTAATCCTGCAGACCTCTGAAGCTCACATCTTACTGAAGTAACAGTGAAAAAACTGACCCTGCCCTTTAAAGACAAAAAAACAGAAATAATTCTTCCTCTCACATGAAACCACCGCAGTACTGAAAAGACCTTCTGAAACAACCGAGGACAACACATTTAACTGCACACACACACACACAGTCTTTCAATGCATGTTTTACAAGAAGCTACAAATGCACACACACACACACTCTTTACTAGCATCTATCTTTCATTTTCACACAGGAATGTCAGGGAGCAGAAGTCAACACTTCCCACTTGACTATGACACCTATTTGGCAGAAGCAGATACTGTGTGTACATGTACGTGTGTGTGTGTGTTTGTGTGTGTGTGTGCGCACGTGCGTCAGTGAAACAGTTCAGATGTCAGAAATGTAGAAATGGCACATAAATAAGTCCAAAAGAGACTAACAACAGCTGTCGTCAGTCGCCTCTGCAGCTCTGTTACAAAACTCCTCTGACATTTCTCAAACACTTCAAATCAAATTCTAAGTCTTGTAATGACTTGTTGGAGTGTAACCGTTTTTTATAACTACACAAGCAACAAACACTTTCATTTCCTCACTGCTGATTCTCACATGAATGAAATATATGTGACTGAGCATTTCAAAGCTGAAATTAGTTAAGTAATTTTTCAAGCAAGAAGGTTGCATAAATTCTCAGGTTTTAGCTTCTTAAATATAAGCATTTTCTGCTTTCTTTTAGTCTTCTCTGATAGTAAGGTGAAAATATCTGGGTATGGTTTGACAAAAAAAAGACATTATAAGATGTCAATTTGGACTCTGGGAACTTGTGATGGGAATTTTGCTATTTCCAAATGATTAAATTTCACAGAATCATTGGTAGATTGATTGATGCAGCGCTGTATACACACTAACATCGATATTTTATGACACATGCAACAAAATTGACCAATCACTTTTCATCCAACAGTTGGTTTATACATACCACAGCTCTTATCCTTCTCTTTCATTAATCAATTCTTCCCCCTTTTATTTACAAAGGTTCACAATAACAGCCAACATACGTCAAAACATTCATTAGAGTCCAGAGAATAAAATGATAAAAAAAAAAACTACAATATTAGTTGAAAAGACTTTCATATTGTTATTATTAAAGTCCTGAAACTTTGAAGTGGGGACAGTGAGGGCATTATAGTTTGTCCTTCAAACCCACCAAATAGTTGCTGATCCGTTCAGATAATCTGACTGACATGTGAATGACCGGCATTTGCAAGTTTTAGAGGTTGCTGACCTGCACCTCCCTTATTCCTGAATGCCTACAGCTAACAGGAGTTTGGCTCCTGACACCAAACCTACACATTATATGGATCCTTTCATCCTGCTAGACAGGTATAGACCAGATAAGGAATGCTACAAATAAAAGTGAAATTATGAAATGATACCTGAACTGAAATAAAAAGCAGCAACCAGATTCAGTACAGCGATCTTCAGTGACCTCTGTTGAAAAGTGCAGCACCAGCTGTGCCTGGTCTTGTTGACAGGCTGCCGGAAAGGCTACAGCTCTTCAGTGTCTCATAACGTACAAACACCATTAAAGCTGAGACAAACAGCATTAAAACAGTGTCGAAGCTGAAAGCAATGGGTTCAGGCAGTTTTCTTCAGATGGATTTGTTCAGCTTTGTGAGGTAAACACTGGGAACAGATGTTTTTTTTCCCCAAACAGTGATGGTGAAAAGAATAGTTTGACATGTTGGGAAATACACCAAAAACTCTAACAGCTGTCAGTTGAATATATGAAACTACAGTCAGGAGAGGGTTAAGTTAGCTTAACTTGGCATAAACAAGGGGGCAAAAATGTCTTACCAGCATCTCTAAAGCTCACTAATTAACACCGTAGTTGGTGTTTGTGTAAAAACAACACTTTGTGCTGTTACGGTGGGTTATGTGTCAGACTATTTCCTGGCCAGAGAGTCCGGCTAGCTGTGTTCTCCAGCTCATGAACCCTTGGCAAAGCCTATAGTGTTTGTTTATAAGATTTAAACGAAACGTTAAACGTTAATTAATAAACTTTTTTGTGAGCAAATAAAGCTTATTTAATGTCAGACTATTCCTTTAAATCAGTATCACATGAACTTGTAAACTGTTATTGCCTTTGAAAGTGAAAGATGGAGAAAAAGTGAAACAAAGACATGAACAGAGCAGCCTGTTCAGATACAAGTAAATCTTTACAATCTTTATTGAGATGTGAAATGTGACTGACATTGTAACAACAGACTGGGTGGCATCGGCCTGTGTCAAAGTGAGATACTGTGTGCAGTGGTAACAAATAATGGCAGGATGGAGGTTTGACTGCAGAGGGGAAGAGGGATAAATAAAACACTGAGCAGTATCACAGATCAGTTACAATCTGGATACTCAGCACATTCCTACAATTTC